GTGGGTGACAAGATAAAATTGAGTATAATCGAAGTAAAGGAGAATGATGAAAACTCAATATATTTCCAATGAATGATGTACAATATATATACCGCTACAAGATTGGAGAGCAAGCTAATAACTAGACACGTGAAAGGGAGAAAACTGAAAGAATAAAATCTGTTACAATAGAGGATAATGTGGTCCCAAAACTGATAGATAGTGGTCCCAAGAATCTGGTGAAATCAGTAGATGATCAGCATCATTCTCATCAGCATAAGCCTTGATTAATTATGATTAACATCATATAGCTTTTCCTAGTGTGTCTTCTCTGTCGAATCCAGGAGCTTATGTCAATCAAGAATTAAATAAGATTAAGAGCAAGAGTGTCAAGATTTTCAGAGTCATGCATTCTTCTTTGGACTTCGCCGTAATTCTTTTCGAAAAGGCAAAGGAATTGGGAATTATGGAAAAAGGTTACGTGTGGATTGTATCTGATGAAATCGCAGGCATTCTTGATTCCATCCAATCGCCTGTTATACTTAATATGCAAGGTGTCATTGGTTTCAAGAACAACTATGAGGATACCAGTGAATCTTTCAGAGTTCAGAACCAGGTTTAGAAGAATGTATAGATCAAAATATCCGGAGGAAGAAGAATACTCGAGCCTCAGTTATAACGCACTTCGAGCTTATGATGCAACTTGGATCGTTGCCAAGGCCTTGCAGAATATACAAGGAAAGATTGACTTCAAAGAATTAGTGAAGCAGATTTTTCACAGTAACTTTGAATGTCTAAGTGGAATTATAAGCTTTAATGATAATATGCAGAGGAATTGAAGAAGAACAGGAGGAGGAAAACAATTCTATTTTGAAGAAGATGAAATTCGAAATACAAGCTGGAATTCGTGACCCTATTTATAGACTAACATACTAACAGAATAAAAGGTAAAAAGACACAAATGACCTCCTGTAAAATATCTACAAAATATCTATAAGAAAACACTTTAATACTCCCCCTCAAGATGGAAGATGTATGTTTAATACTCCCATCTTGCTGATCAGAGATTGGAACCTATCTCCTCCCAATGGTTTAGTCAACAAATCTGCAACTTGTTCTTGAGAAGCTAGGTAGACCATCTTAACTTCTCCCGCACGAACCTTGTCCCTAACAAGATGACAATCAATCTCTATATGTTTCGTTCTTTTATGGAACACCGACTTATTGGCAATATGTATGGCAGATTGATTGTCACAAAACAACAAAGCCGATTTTGTATGTAAAACACTCAAGTCTTCAAGTAAATTCTTCAGCCAGCTAAGTT